TGCGTGCCGGGCTTGGTAAACGCCGCCCTGGGCCGGGAGGTGCTGGCGTCCAGCACGTGCGGGCGGCCGGCCACTCGGGTCTGCGACGCCTCTGACCCACGGCGGGCACACCCCGCCGGCCTCCTGACCTCTGCGGGGGGACCCGCCAGTCCTCTGTGCTGGCGCTCGGACTCACTGCCTCGGGCACCCCTCAACGTGACCCTCACGGTGCCCCTGGGCAAGGCCTTCGAGTTGGTCTTCGTGAGCCTGCGATTCTGCTCAGCGCCCCCAGCCTCGGCGGCCCTGCTCAAGTCGCAGGACCATGGCCGCAGCTGGGTCCCCCTGGCCTTCTTCTCCTCCCACTGCGGCCTGGACTACGGCCGTGCACCGGCCCCGACTGACGGCACCGCTGGCCCAGGGCCTGAGGCCCTGTGCTTCCCAGCACCCCAGGCCCAGCCCGATGGTGGCGGCCTCCTGGCCTTCAGCGTGCAGGACGGCAGCCCACCGGGCCTGGATCTGGACAGCAGCCCAGTGCTCCAAGACTGGGTGACTGCCACAGACATCCGCATAGTGCTCACCAGGCCTGGCCTGCCGGGGGACGCCAGGAACTCAGAGGTCACGGTCCCCTATTCCTATGCAGCCATGGACCTCCAGGTGGGTGGGCGCTGCAAGTGCAACGGGCACGCCTCACGGTGCCTGCTGGACTCCCAGGGACACCTGGTCTGCGACTGCCGGCACAGCACCGAGGGCCCCGACTGCGGCCGCTGCAAGCCTTTCTACTGCGACAGGCCCTGGCAGCGGGCCACGGCCCGCGAATCACACGCCTGCCTTGGTGAGGCCCTGGAGGGTGGCCTGGGGACCTTGGCCCTGACTGGCCTGCCCTGACCCATCCCTCCCTGTAGCTTGCTCCTGCAACGGCCATGCACGCCGCTGCCGCTTCAACATGGAGCTGTACCGACTGTCTGGCCGCCGCAGTGGGGGCGTCTGCCTGAACTGCCGGCACAACACTGCAGGCCGCCACTGCCACTACTGCCGGGAGGGCTTCTATCGAGACCCGGGCCGTGCGCTGAATGACCGTCGTGCCTGCAGGGGTGAGCAGCCACCTGTATGCCCTCACCCTCTGGCTTCCCAGAACCCCAGATGGGCTTCTGACCAGGCCCTTCCCACCTCTGTTCTCAGCCTGTGACTGTCACCCCGTGGGTGCTGCTGGCAAAACCTGCAACCAGACCACAGGCCAGTGTCCTTGCAAGGACGGCGTCACTGGCCTCACCTGCAACCGCTGTGCCCCTGGTTTCCAGCAGAGCCGCTCCCCAGTGGCACCCTGTGTTAGTGAGTGACCCCGCCCTGCCTCACCCCCTCGGCTGAGGCCACCCCAGCTCCCTAGGCTTGCGTCTGCTGTCCCCTGAGCCCTGCAGATCCCTCTGACCCTCCATCGCAGGCCATTCTCCCACTCTCTCTGCAGAGATCCCTGTCCCTGGACCCACTGAAGAGAGCAGTCCTGTGGTGCCCGAGGGTGAGTGGACACAGAACAGGGCCCCACACTGGTAGGGCATTGGGGGATGGAGCTACGGCTGAGGGAGGAAGGGGGAATCTGTGCCAGCCTCCCACCCTCCTCCCAGACTGTGACTCGCACTGCAAACCCGCCCACGGCAGCTACCGCATCAGCCTGAAGAAGTTCTGCAGGAAGGACTATGGTAGGCCGCCCGCAGGCCTCCCGCCCTGCCCCTCTCATCTTCTTCCTCCCTGCTTCCCTTTCCTCTGCCACCTCACCTTGGAGTGCCTTAACTCTCGCCGCACCCCCAGGGGTCCCCACCGCCTCGGGGGTCCTGTGTCCTCCCCGTCCCGTTCTCCTCCCCGCGGCCCG